CTCCAATCAGTCTTATGTTCTTTGCATCGTCTAGCAGCTGCTGGATTGATTTCTCATGTTCCTTTACAATTTTAAAGCAATATTTCTTTTCCTGGTCACTAATTGCAATCTTTTCTTTTATTTCTGAAATTCTATCCTCACATTGGTTCATTCTGCTGTGCAGACTTTCGATGGAATTTTTAATATCCTGGAAATCTGTTTGCATCTGTGTTATGGATTCCATTTGTTTCCTATGTTGGAATTCCATTATGCTCCTCAAATCCTCTATTTTTTATCTGTGTCCTGTCTAGATTTTTTAGTCATGTCTTGCACCATGAGCACAATCTTTGCTGTTATCTGTGTAATTATTTCTGATTTCATTTTTCCCAAATCCTCTTTTGTTGCCAGTTCAGAGAGTCAAGGTAGTTGAGTATCAGATTGTTCCACCTCATTTCCCTTTGGGCTTGCTGTAGGTGATCCAGAAGTCTATTTTTGATTCTTGTTTATGTGTCTTCTCATTTCCACAGAGGGGGGAGGGGTGCTTCTGGCACCCATGCGGCTCACCTTCTCTGCCCTAGGAGCTTGGGATGGCATTGGGGAGCTTCCTTCCAGGTGCTGGTGGTGTACTTTCTTGATGTTTCTCAAATTAGTACAATTTACAATAATGTCAATAAGAGCACTGCAATTTATTCAGTCTGTTATCGCAAACTCTAAAAATCTTTTGAAAGAACATAACTTTGTAGAAAACACAAATGATGAGTTAGATATATTAATATATACACATATTTGGAGAAAACTGGAAGAAAAATTTACTTAATATGAGAAGGCAGAACGAAAAAGAGGGAAATGAGTTAAATGGAAATTAGGATATCTGTAATACAAAGAGATACAGAGAAGAAAAAATAGAGGGAAACAATTTTTATATCAATAAAAAGACAAAATGTAAAATAGATGAAGGATAAGGATACAGAATAAATAGAGTCATAAATGGTGAAACTATGAAGAACAGATATTACAAAGGTATATGAAAGACATTTGTAACGTAACTCAGGAATCTTTAAGCTTCAAGTTTTACATACTTTAAAAAAGATAAGTGCTCTTTCCATTAAATTCTAAAATTAATAAAATATAAAGTAATATGATAATAAAATAATGAGGTTTAATACAAGAAGTTTGTTTATATCTTCAATTTTTACGTAAAGTTTTCAATGTGGTATGTTACCTAGTGTACTCCTCTTATCTCTGTCCCATCATACTCTTTAAAAAAACATGAAATTTTCATTACAGTCCTTTAAAAGATGTATAGATTTTTAAACCAGAACAACATATCTTTTAAAATATGATTTTCTATAAAATTAAACTATATTTGTGTAGCCCACTAGAATGATTTATAAATTATCAATTTTTTTCTAAGATTATTTATATAGTTGCATTTTAACTAATATCAGTAGCAGTGTTTAGTTTGCCTTCTATTGTTATTACTGAGTCATCAGAGATTTATCTTTATGATATGCAGTTCTTTGCATTTAAGGGAAATGCAATACACTACATCTTTGACTGTTGCAACTGGGATATTTCTGGAAGATTTGAGCAGTGATCTAATGTAAACACACATGAGGAGAAACGTATTCCCAGTATGTTCTACTTCAGATCATTCCATCTTAGCAAACCACATTTCCTGACAGAGGATATAAAGATTCAGACATAACCATAATTAAAATATAATTACATTTTAAAGAGAAAATATTTCGTTATTTTATATATGTGACAACATGGATTATTTATAGCCTCTTGAACCTTCATCCCTGCTAAGATTGGTGAGTTGTCATGAAAACAATGTTCTTTTTACCTTCTTTAAGGAAAGGATCCCTTCTCTGGTGTCTTTGTCGGTGGAGATGGAGAATATCCCAATGCCATCTCCATTTATGATAGAGTAAGTCATGTCAGCATTCGAGCCCGTGTCCGCATCATTTGCCTTGATTTTCCCAACTGCTGAACCAACTTGAGCTGACTCAGGAACATACAGTTGATAGTGCTCTGGAAAAGATTCCAAATTAAACCAATTTGATTCTATTTGATACCACAATAACCTTTTAAGAAAATATGGTAAATATTAAGACCACATAAGTGAATATCAGACTAAAAAATCAATAAAATGGATTCTTTTCAGACTTAAAAATATTAGTTTACTATTTATGAAATGAAATACTAGATTCATGTAAATTTAAAAATATATGATAATATGTTAATGAAAAATAATTTGTATACCTGAATTAAAATATTTTATTAGCAACACACATATAAATAACAGAAATATGAAATAAAATTTCTAGTCTTATATTAAATAAACAATGAATTAGGCATGTATATTCCTCAATACAGTAGGTGAGATTCAAATACAAAAATGTGGAAACTTGGAACTACACAGAAAAACTGAGTAGAACATGAAAACCTGCAAAAATATGTTAACATTTTGTGAATTGTTTTAAATTTAGTGAACTGTTTAGCCACAACAAAGACAATGAATATACTCATATGCATTCACCACTTATTTTCCACCAGCTTTTAGAACGGTTTTAATATGGCTTCACAATAGCCACAAACAAAATAAAGTTATTGAAATTAAAACAAAATCAACGAACGGGTTAAAGTATGAGAAGGTAAATAAAATAAATACATAAGTAGTTACATGTAGTGTAGGGAGACGGTGCCCTTAATTTTCGCAAAGTATTTCTTATAACCAACAACTGTAAAACTATTGATTCTGTAATTATCACTGTCCCTTATTCATAAATATTAAACATTTTGAAAGATTTCCTAATAATGAATGTTTATTGGAAATTTTATTATAAGCACTTATGAAGTGGTTATTAAAGAGCATAATAATCCTACTTAACAACTGTCTATTGACACTTTAGAAACACATTTATTAAAGTATTTTGTTATAGAAAACCCAAAAGAACATCTTAAATAACAAGAACTTTGAATTAAAAGGTAATTTGATGTAAGATTTCTAGCCAAAATTAAATTAATAGTAATTCAACATTGCACAAGGATAAGATTAGACTCTAAATTAATGAATGAACAGCTTCTATGAAAATAACTTTCCTCTGCTAACCTTTTGTTAGGCGTAGTGTGATACTAAAATTAAAGTACATGTATTGAGTTTTAGAGTATTCTTTTTCCCATTATGGTAAGAACACTTGATATGAGATTTAACTTCTTAACACGTTTCTACCCAAAATACTATATTGTTATTTATAATATTATTTACAATGTTATTTATAAAGTACAATATTGTTATTTATGAGTTTATACCTAAAATACAATATTGTTATTTTTATTTATTGTTATTTATATACAATATTGTTATTTATATTGCTGTTATTTATAATATTTTTATATATAATATTGTTCATGAGAACTATAAGATATATTATCTCTATCTGAAATTTAATACCTGTTGCTTAGAAAATTACCCGCCCTTTTCCAGTTCCTGGCAAGCATAATTCTCTTCTTTGAATCTACACATTTAATTATTAGATTACTAGTAGAATTGTGATCTTGCAGCATTGTACTTCCATGATTTCCTAAATTCACTCCAAATAATATTTACCATGTTAATTCATGTTGTTGAATATTGCAAGATTTCCTACTTTTAAAAGCCTAAATAATACGCTATTCTATCCAGTGACAATAGTTTTATATCCATTTGTTCAGTTTTGTACACTCAGTCATGATATTTGGGCTTTGGGGCTCTTTTGTGTTTCCATATATATTGTAAAATCTTTGGTTTCTATTACTGTAAAAACACAATTCATATTTTGACCTGGAATTCACTGAATTTGTCAAGAGAAAATGTAATGTAGACATGTTATAATAATCAGACAGATATCATTATATTTTGTGGTTAAAGTAACTGAAAATATTTCACCTAAGTAGGAGATCAAAGCAAGGATGCCCAATCTCATGCTTTCTCCAAAACCTAGACATAGCCAAAGTAATTAAAAAATAAAATAAACACAAAGCATACAAAATAGTGTTGAATTAAAATTGTTCATGTTTTCATATGATATTGTATCATATCCTATACCTTATATCGTATGACTCTAAGGACTAAAAGAACAAGATAAAATAATCCCTGCCTCAGAATGGAACTTTTTCTTAGCTCTTTTCCATAAATATTGGGGATATTACTTGACAAAAGTAAATTCCGAATCAAGTAAGAGAAGTACATGTTATTTTTTGGTATAATGATCGGTACCAACGTATTAAATCATGGACACAGCACTCTCTGCTGTTTTACCTTAACGGTTTTATTATGATAGATCTGTCATAGTGAAAAATTTCCACTCTTTTTGATATAGTTAACTAACGAGAAAATTATGAGAATCAATCTTTTATAGAAGTCAAATTTTCTAATCACAGTTGATTGGTGAAGGGTGAACAACTGGTTCACCATCCCTCCAAACGAGTGCTTTCCCCAGAAATGTGTGCACTGAAGCTGGGAATGAACTTTGATCTCTTCAGCAGCAAAACTGTGTACTGTTGGAAGGGGCTTCTGCCTAAGGCGATGTTTCCAAAATTAATGTTAAAAAAACAAATATAAGGGATAAAATCAGTGTCAGAGAAAAGTCTTACTGATTTACACTCACCTTGGAAATACCAAGATGGATATGAGAAGTTTTACATAACATAGGACACTTTTTTAAAAAACAAAAAGTAAAGACACATTGCAAATTCATCTATTACAAATCTTCTAAAATGTTTTGAGGTAGAGAGGCCAGAGCTACTCAGGTCACTGGATGCTATGGATATTAAGGTCCAAGTAAATCAGAATTTTAAACAAACATTTAGTTTCAATCCAAGAAAGATGCAAAATCTTTCTATTGGTGTGCATCCATTACGTTTTCAAAATCTATCTAAGAAATATTAAGAGAAAATAAATAAGAGAAACTGAAAACTTCAGTATCATCTTGGAAGACATTACCATGTATCTTTCAAAATCTGACAAAAATTAAGTAAGGATCTCTAGAGTTGAACTGATATACCAATAAATTTCAATTGATTTCCATGTATAGAATTCAAACAACTGCGCTATTTATTTACCTTCTTGCAAATAGCATCACTTATCTAAGTCAAGTACATACTGAAGAAATACTCAACAAGTTTCAAATATATGTTTGGAACCATGGAAATTACAGAAACATTTTTCAAAATACCTAGAGAGATCTTAATTTTCTTAAATAAAGGTATACACTTCATATTTTGATGGGTTAAAGAGCTTTTACTTTCTTAATTTTTCAGACAAATTATTAAGAAATTAAGCAAAATCTAATATACAGTGTATAGATTTGATTTATTGAAAATTTAAATAATAAATTTAAAGCAATGGCCCTTCTAATGTACTTTGCTATAAACAAAATCATATCAATATCAGTGTTTCCATTAGTGATGTTTTCTTTATCACTAATTTGACTTACCAAGCCAATTAAACAATTGTGTTGCTTGGTATCCTTATAGGAAATAATGCTACTTATTGAATTATTAGGACTGTTTGTACCAGGATTGTACAGCATGCTTTCAACCAGAGGTCTCAAGTTGGCTTTTGTTTCTGGATTACTTAAAATTTACAGTAATTTCAAGTTCCTGGGAAAGTTTTGTTAGACAATCAATTTTCTACTGTTTATTGTGGGATTTTTGGCATGTGGTTATTTTTCTTTTCCAACTCTATTATTTACTAGGGTGTTTCTAAAAATATAATTTATTCCATTTAGAATACAAAATCTTTAGAAACTTTCATTTGAGGTGTTTAATTTTATATGCATATGCTTTATGCAGAATACTAAGCTCAGAAACTTTTTTTGCATAACAACACATTATGCAGCAAGAAAACACACAGAACACTGTAAAGGCTAGAAAAGAAAATGTCAAGAAATTTAAAAAGCCAAATAATAGATTAGCCTCAGTGAAAGGGCTATTACTGAGAGCTCTACCTTTTGAGATATTTTTCTCTGAAAGAGAACAGGACATAACTTTAAGCTATGAGTAAAGATTAAAGACCTAGATTAGTTGACTTCCTCTCAGTGTGAGTTTACTGCTTTCCTAACACATTTCAGCCCAAATATTGGTATCACCTTGAATTGAGTAGTGGCTGTCTTCTTAGTTAACATGCACTATCCAGGCTCTATTCTCTCCTGCTACCGTCTTGATAGTGACAGACAGCTTGCTTTAGTCAGGACCTTCATTTGTCTTGATCCCTAAGAAACTAAGATTGTAGCTCAAAAGTGGAGACAGCAAAAAGCACTCTGCTAGCTCTAGATCCCTTTCTAACTCTCAAACACTTACTTAGATTATTTATTTTAAGGTAAAGTGATAATTAAAATAAACCTAGAATAATTCAGTTAATTTTTAAATGTCATGGGAGACTCACAGTAGGAAAAAAAAAAACAATTTAGAAGAACATTTTTGCAGTGTCATGGAGGAAGCCGTGATACTATTTTTGGTTGCAGGAATAGTGTAAGAAAATTGGCTCTTTCAGTTAGGAGAAGAGCATAAGAAACCACAAGCACAACTGTAAAAACACACCTGTTAGAGAAACAATTAGGCTACTATACCCACTTGATAATTCCTTACTAATTTTATGTAATTTGAATTGTATATAGATTTATGCATATCATGATGTCTTGGGAATGCAAGTGGTCATGATATTTCATGTTTCATTTTCTTTTCCTCTATACAGCTTACATTTCCTCACCATATAAATAGTGACTTCATGAGTTCCAATGCTTATAAATAAGTAAAAGAATAATTTACTACAAGCTCATTTTCCCATGGTGACACCATATTCTTCTGAATGCAGCATTATGTTTAGTATAACCAAACTACAAATATATTTTAAACAAGACAGTGTATAAGATTCTGGAAATGTGCTACTCCATTTCAAATCTCTAATTACATCGTCAGTGTGCCAGGCTTTATATGTGTCTGTCATTCTGCCCAGAAAGCTTTTAACTGAAGAAAGACAGAGCCCATTA